ATTAACATCCTGAATATATCAGCAAATTAAAAAACTCAACAACAACAACAACAAAAAAAAAAAACAGCTGATAAATGGGCAAAGAACTTCAATCGACAGTTCTCAAAAGAAGAAATGGGCCAGTGCTGCAGCTCACTTGGCTAATCCTCAGCCTGCGGCGCCAGCACTCCAGGTTCTAGTCCCGGTTGGGGCGCTGGATTCTGTCCCGGTTGTTCCTCTTCCAGTCCAGCTCTCTGCTGTGGCCCGGGAAGGCAGTGGAGGATGGCCCAAGTGCTTGGGCCCTGCACCCATGTGGGAGACCAGGAGGAAGCACCTGGCTCCTGGCTTTGGATCGGCGCAGCGCACTGGTTGTAGCAGCCATTTAGGGGGTGAACCAATGGAAGGAAGACCTTTCTCTTTGTCTCTCTCTTTCACTGTGTAACTCTGCCTGTCCAAAAAAAAAACAAAACAAAAAAAAAAAAACAATACAAATGGCCAGCATTCAAAATTTAAGGACAAATGCTCAATATCACTAGTCATCAGGGAAATGCAAAGGAAAAGCACAATGAGAATTCACCTCATTTCTATCAGAATGACTAAAACCCAATACATAGGAAGTAACAACTGCTGGCAAGCATGCTAAGGAAGAACACTTATACACTGTTGGTAGGAATGTCAGTTAATGCAGCCACTGTGGAAAACAGTGTCGAGGTTTCCTACAAAACTGTAGACTTGCCATATGATCCAGAAATCTCACTACTGGATATATTTCCCAAAGACTTAAACCCGCTATATCAAAAAGATGGTTGCACCATCATGTTTATAGCAGAACTGTCCACAATAGCCAAAATTCAAAACCAACCGAGGTGTCTATCACCAGATGAATGAATTAAGATAATTAAGTATATATACACTAAGGAATATTATTCAGCTATAAAAAGAATGAAACTACCATTTTCAACAAAATGGAGGACATTATGTTGAGTGAAATAACTTGTACCCAGAAAGACAAATACCACACGCTGTATGTGAGAGGTAAAATTAAAAAAATAAAAAATAAAAAAAGAGAGAAAAAAGAAATAAATATCCTAAGTATCAGTACAGATGTAAATATAATTTTGTAAAACTTTGCTTTATACCTTTGTCAAGCCAGTGGTTAAGGATGTTTTACTACTGGGGCCTTGGCCATCTGGGGAATGAGCCAGTGGATGGAAGACATGGAAGACCACTCTCTGTCTCTTCCTCTATTTATCTGTTAATCTGCCTCTCAAATAATTAAATAATCTTTTTTAAAAAACATGTAATACTCTCATAGTTTTAATGATCTTTGATTACTTTAAGATTTAGTGTACATAGGTAAAATGGTCATTTTCCCAATCAATTATAATTTATAGCCATTATCTATATTTCCACTAAACTAGGTTATTCGTTCTTTTTACTTGTTAAACTTCTTATCTTGTGATGTATTAAGCCTTTTTACTGTAATGTAATTTTAAAATCTTACCTCAAAAACTAAAAAAAGAAAGAGAGGAAGAAGGAAAGATGGTAGGAAGGATAGAGTAATAGAAAGGACTATTATTATGTTCTTAGCATTTTGTCTGCAAATCACACCAAATCTGTTGGAAACTAATTGAAATTAAAATTTTAAAATTTTAAAAAATCAAAAAGGCAGTAGTAATTCTTCAACTAAAAAACATAGTTACTGAAAGGACTAAATACCAAGTTCCAACTATATGCTGCATACAAGAAACTCACTTCACTTCTAACGACACACATAGTCTGAGATGAAAGCATGGAACAAGATATTCTATGCAAATAAAACCCAAAATAAAGCAGGAGTAGTCATACTTTTACCAGATCAAATAGATTTAAATCAAAATCAGTATAAAGGAGACCAGAAGGTCTTTATATAATGTTTAATCTAGCAAGAGGTATCAACATTTATAAATATGTATGCACCCAGTATTGGAGCACCCAAGTACATACATCAAATATTAATAGACCTAAAGAGAGAGATAGACTCCAATACAATAATAGTAGGGGACTTTAACACTCCACTTTTAGAAATGGAGAGGTCATCGACACAAAAAATCAACAAAGAAACAACAGAGTTAAATTGCACCCTAAATCAGCTGGACCTAACAGACATTCACAGAAAGTTGTATCCAACAGCTATTGAACACATATTTTTCTCAACAGTACATGTAACATTCACTGGGTTAGAGCATACAGTAAAACACAAAACAAGTCCAAATAAATTTAAAATGTGAAATACAAATCAAAACTAAAATGAAATATTACCCCACTCCAGTAAGATTGGTTATTATCAAAAAGACAAAAGATAGCAAGTGTGGAGAAAAGGTAACCCTTGCTCCCCATGAATGAGACTATAAATTAATACAACCACTGGGGAAAATAGCATGGAAATTCTCTCAAACCTGAACACAGAATTACCAAATAACCCAGCAATCCCAATATACACCAAAGAGAAATGAAATCGACCCATTGAAGAGACATCTGTACATCTATGATTATCACAGCTCTATATTCATAATAACCAACAAATGTAAGTGACCTAAGTGCCTGTCCACTAATGAATGGATGAAGAAATGTGGTATGTATATACAATGAAATATCACTCAGCCATAAAAAGGATAAAACTTTGTCAATTGCAACATCATAGACAAAATGTAATAAGGTAAGCAAAGAAAGACAAATACGATGTGTTCTCACTCCTACATGGAGTCTAAGAGCGAGGTGATCTCACAGAATCTCAAATAAGTTAAAAATATATTGGTTAACGGTAAAACTAGTATTCAAACAGTACTTTATACTTTGTGTGTGTGTGGGGGTAAAAACTGTTGAAATTTGTACCTAGTATATACTAATTTGATCTTCTATATATTAATATAATTAAAAATGAATCTTAATGAAGAATGGGATGGGAGAGGGAACAGGAGATAGGATGGTTCGCGGGTGGGAGGGTGGTTATGGGAGGAAAAACCACTATAATCCAAGTTGTACTTTTGAAATTTATAGTTATTAAATAAAAGTTTAAAAATATATATTGGTGGTTACCAGAGGCTGTGGAGGGAACTAGGGAGGAAGGGGAAAGGTTGATTGACAGATAATAAGTTATAGCCAGAGAGGAGTAAGAAGTTCTGGGGTTCTAGTACGTAGTAGGGTGGCTAAAGATAATGCACTGCATATTTCTCTGCTTTGAAACAAACCTAGAAGAGGATTTTGTTTGCCTTTGATTATTAGTAAATATTAAATGCAAGAAAGGATAAATATACTGATACAGATTGTATATCACACAATGTATACATGTAAGGAAACATCACATAGTATTCCATAAAAAAGAACAGTTTTTGTGCCTGATAAATGATTTTTTTAGTTTTCAAAAGGAAGGAAAATAGTCTATCAAACATGAAACCTTTAAGACTTTTTTTTGTTGTTTTCTTCAAAAAATTTTTAGTAAAAATTATTTTAGATCTTGAACAGCAGTTATTCACACACATAAAATCGATGGGATGCTTGGGGATTTTGGAAATTGGAATTAAAAGATAAATTTTGGTATATATTATGAAAAAACCATGCATTGATTTAAAAAAAATTTTTGCACAAAAGTAAGTACATACTTTTACACCATTTCCCACAAACTTTTTGAAGTACTCCCTTCAAGTTATTAAACTCCAGAAACATTTCCTCACTCATTACAATAAGATCACAAAAATATTTTTACTAAATATAATATTACATTTTACATAAAAACTCCAAATATTGTGACATTAAAACTTTTTAAGATTTTGTCACTGGAAAACTGTAGTGCTCTCCCTGAGAGCCTGTCGCAGCAGGACACTATATAAAATCTTGCCTTTCACAACAAAATAAATGCCACTGGAAACCACTATACTTAGCTTAATAAGCCAGTTTCCAAAAGACAAATACCATGTTTTCCCTAATCCGTGTACCAAAAAATTTACTGCATGTTACTGAAATTGACATTTTGAGAATTGACTATTCTATACAGGCCTTTTCTCTACCGTTGTGGTGGAACAGTGTTTTGTTTTTGTTTTTGTTTTTGTTTTTCCTTCCTTTTTGTTGAATTGTTTACTTAGTGGAGTTTTAATCTTATGATTATAAAATAAACTGAAAGTACGTCATTGTAAATTAAAAGAAAGAATAAGAAAGGAAGGAGGAGGGAGACTGGGAGCATGTGTGGGAGGGAGGGTGGGGTGGGAAGTACCACTAGATTCCTTAAATCTGTATATCTGAAATACATGAAATTTGCTCACCAAAAAAACCATAAAAATAATAAATAAAGTCTTTCTGTAAGAGTTTGGCACAAAATATGCTTTATAAAATCTGTCAACAACTACAAGCTACACTCACATACAGGTGCACAAATTTAGGTTCTATTTTAAAGGGCCCTATCTAACATTAAATGCAAATCATCTAATTTACATAATACTCAATTCTGGAGGTAAACAAACCTATTGCTTCTGGGGGTGTGTTTCAAACGCCATAGCAGAGCACCAGATGAGAAGAGCTCCATAGCAACAACGTTTGTAAAAGTCAGAAACACTTGAATTTTCCTGATGGTAAATTCAGACTGCTCCTGAATCTCAGACTTGACTGTACTTCAGAGCTGACGACTCAGGAATGCTAATGACAAGTATGGGAAAGGTCCATCTCGAGCAATCTGCTTTGAAGTCTCTTTCCCCCAGAGACTTTGCATTTCCCAGCCCATGCAGAACTGACAACCTCCCTCAAATAATGATAGCTTTTTCACTGGCTTTTCCCTAATGTCCCAGAAGTTAGAAAGTAATGAAAATGAAGATGAGAGCCTTCCCAGAAAAACCTAACAGCTTCATAACATTGTCATGCTTTTATCACAGATGTTTCCAGAAGTCTTCTCTAAGTGCAAACTCATTCTCTCACAATTCCTGCAGATTATAAAATCCCTCTGAATGTTTTAAATTAGAAATTTTCCACAACACTCACATTTTTAAAAAATATGACATGATACACTTTTTATTTCAACATATGGTATATAAAACTGATGACTTACAATAAGAAATTCTTCTTAAAATAAAAATTCCTATGCCTGTATAGTCATTAGCATTATTTCAAGACATATTGAAAAGGAAAAGATAAAAGGAGATCAGAGTGGCTAAGGTTTAAATGAACAATTTTGCTCTTGAATCGGCGGCGTCTGTACCACAGGTGCGATTACAGGTCAAAAGCGTTGAAGTCCTACTTCTCTTCCTGAGAAATCTGCCATTCAGAGCTCCAGAGCAGACAGCATTTGTCAGCGCCTCTCTGGGGCATCAGTTGGCACCCCTTGCTTTCTTCTGCAAACTGGACAACAGGTACCTGTCTCCAGTTGAGGACTGGAACATGGAGTTGAGGGGCAACTCTCCACCACACACGTGACTTGGCCACTCTGAAAGGCAACATTCAAGAATCATCCCCACATTTCTTACAATAAAATCATTAAACAATAAGTTCCTTTATCTACTCTGATAGGGTGACTACCTCCACATGGTTTAAAAAATTCTCCAAGTAGCACTAATGTTTGCAGGTGGTTTCTAGTCTTCTTTCTGCATATTTGCAACAGGGAGAGCAAAACTAGAAGCCCCACCCAATAAAACATAATCTATAGCACTGTAACGTATCGTAAGCCTCGGGAAGTTCACACGTTTCCAGAGGACTAGGAGAAATCAGCTCTGTTCAAAAGGCAAATTCTATGAGAAATTTGAACATTTTTATTTTGGTGGTTTCCATAACACCTTTTTACATTTATAAAGAATTGTGCATTTTGCCAAGTGCTGTCAGGAAACAATTGTAGAAAGCCTGGCTTAGGAATAATGAAATGAACTCAAGTGCCAGCCTGCCTCAGTTTACTTCTGTGATTTGAGGCAATGCACATGAACTTCCTAAGGCTCAGTTCCCCGGTGTGTGTCAATGAAACATTTTTAAAAAGTCCACATGTAATCTCATAGTAATCAACAATCAGAAGACTCAAAATGTTCACAGTAGCATCTGAATTTTAAAATTATGACTAGCGGGATGGACTTTTGGCCTTGAGGTTGAGACAGGTCCTTCCCCCAGCAGAGTATCCAGATTTGAATCCTAGCTCCTCTTGCAATTCCACCCTCCTGTTAGTGTGGTCCCTGGGAGGCCGTGGTGATGGCTCACTTAAGTGTATTCCTTCCACCCATGTGGATTTTATTCCTGCTTTTGTTTCATCCCAGACCAGCCCCAGGCATTGTGGGCATTTGGGGAAAGAAACAGCACAGGAGAGCTGTCTGATTTTTCCCTGTCTCCCTCTCAAACAGCAATTTTCAAGATGCCTAGAATCTATTTAGAAAAGGATATTTTATTTTCTCTTTGAATTTTTCAGGTATGCTTCAGCTGGCTGGCGAGGAAAAGTAACATAAAAGCAGATGGATAGGAAAGTGTCTGGCCTCGCACACCTCACAGGTGCAGCTAATGCAGTCTTCTCTCATCCAGCGTTCCTGGTCCTTCCTTTGAATCCCTTTATCATCTGTGCATCCTGCCTGCCTCAGGCGTGCCTCCAGCTTGTTTATCTGAAAGAAGAGGGAAGGAAAGGACTGTGGGAATTAAAATAGGTAGCAAGAAAGCTGATAAATAAGGTGGTTTGGTGAAACCCTCTCTTCTGTAAACACATGCCTCAAAGGCAAACAAACTTCAAAGCCTACGTAATTTTTTCTTAACATTCCCCCCACCCCAAAACACGATGAACAAGAATCATCCAATGTCTAAACGAATGAACAGTTCTTTATGTACGGGAAACTACTCACTATGCACCCAGAATCTGCAAGTTTATTTCTAAAGGAAGGAGAATTAAAGTCTAATGAGTGAAATTACGTATTTAGAAAGTTTCTCAATAAGCATAAATAAATACTATTTCCACTAATTAGTATTTTATTTTTTCTGTCATTTAAATTCCCATAAATTGCACACGTCATATAAAATATATTAAGTTTAAAAGATGAAAGCAAGCAACCCAGGGTCTCAAGGATGTTACTATTTGGTACACAGACAAACAAAAACAAACCACAATGATAAGTCAAGCTGATAATGAGAACTTGCAAAGGAATACGGAGAGCAGTTGAGAAGTTTCAACCACTTCTGCCCAGGCAGTAAGAGAGGCTTTTCTTTAGGGAACTGTGTCTCCTCTAAGTGCAAAGGCTGATGCCCTAACTCTTTAATGTAGACCTGTGTGGGGATAAGGAAGGCCTTTAAGGAGCCTTATCTAATGGCCTAAGGGTGGAACTCTCAGCCAATTTCACTGGTGTCTTTATCAAAAGGGGAGGGGGTTGGGATGACACCAAGAGTGCACAGAAAAGAAAGCCCAGGTGAGAGCATAATGAGACGGGGTCAGCTGCAATCAAGGGACCGCAACCTGGATGACACAAACCCTGCCTTCACCTTGTTCGTGGAAGTCCAGCCTCCAGAACTGTGAGATAATATGTCTGTTGTTTAAAGCATAAGCCTTGGACGTTTTATCACAGCACCTGAACAGAAGGATACACCCCACATGAGAAAATCACTTGAGCTGTGAGAGATGACTAAGTCTTTCAGGAGAACAAGCTGAGAAAAGGCATCTCAGGGAAATGGAGAAAAGAATGGGTCCAAGCAGGGGACCACAGTGGATGAGGATTTCAGGAACTTTGCAAACTGATCTCTAGGAAAGGGTCACGGGCTGGGGGGATGGGGTGTGAAGGATAGTGGAGGAAATTGGATGAATGGGCAGCAAATAAAATTGGGACCCTAACTGAATGCAGGTTCTATGCAATGGGAACGGTATCAAGCTGGTCATTTAATATGAAGGATCTGTCAGTGGTATTCGAAAGCACAGGAGACTAGCAGTGAGACCCAAATGAAGGAGGAGGTAGAGTCAGCAGGAGTCAGTTAGCAGGTAGAGGTGTTGGCTGGATGTGGGTTGAAGGAAAAGAGAAGAACCCAGGACAGCTCCAAATTTCTAGTTTCCACCCTGTATACAAATGAGGGTGACATTGACCAAGATCTTACTCTAGAGAATACAGTGAAAGGAGGAACAGTGTATGGAGAGGGGCCAGTGTTGTGTCACAGCAAGTTAAGCTGCCTCCAACAACGTCAGCAGCCCATATTGGACGGCCAGATCGAGTTCTGGCTGCTCTGTTGCCAATCCAGTTCCTGGTTAATGCAGCTGGGAAGGCAGCAACAGATGACTCCAGTACATGGGTCCCTGCAACCTACCTGGGAAACCTGTGTGGGTAAACAAATGAATGAATGACGTTTCCACACAGGAAGAAGCTTTGATAGATTGCCTTTTTCTTCTCACAAAATTCAGGGACTTTTCCATGGGCCTCTCCTGGGCTCCCTCTCTGGGAGCTGGATGCTTATGACTTGATGCTATCAGATTTCACTCCAGGGAGATAACTCACCCTGGCCAATGATATACAAGCAGAACTAATGTAAATTGTAACTACAGAAGCTTTAAAACACCAGTCCTGGCATTGTATTTTTTTTCTTCTGCTACAAGAAAAGCCTATTCCAGAAAAGATTAATTTTTTACTCTGATTTTGATAACTTAAAAAGTATGGAATAGAGACACAACTTAGCCCCAAAGGACAGGAAGCATGCATGAGAAATTAATTGTTGGTGCCAGTGCTGTGGCGCAGTGGGTTAACACCCTGGCCTGAAGCACCGGCATCCCATGAGGGCACCAGTTTGAGACCTGGCTGCTCCACTTCCCATCCAGCTCTCCGCTATGGCCTGGGAAAGCAGTAGAAGATGGTCCAAGTCCTTGGGCCTCTGCACCCATGTGGGAGACCCGGAAGAAGCTCCTGGCTCCTGGCTCCTGGCTTTGGATCAGCGAAGCTCTGGCCATTATGGCCAATTGGGGAGTGAACCATCCGATGGAAGACCTCTCTCTTTCTCTCTCTCTCTCTCTGCCTCTCCTCTATGTAATACTGACTTTCAAATAAACAAATATATCTTTAAAAAAAGAAATCAATTGTTATTGTGAGCCTCCATTTGCTACTATAAAATAATTTATCAAACCCTGTCCAATCCAGGGCTTCATCCAGGCTATGCCATTCAATAAAACACTATTGAAAGAAAGAAAAAAAAAATATGTATCTGATCACAACCACAAAAACTAGCAGGTTACTTTCTGCACTGATGCTCTGCTAACTTCCTGTGTGTGTCTGTGCCCTGGCAGCTGTATGGAAACAGTGCTGGAGAAGTCGGAGGAAGCTCTCTGATGACCTGTTCATGTTGCTGAACAAATTCAAATACTAGGTGGAAACTGATGGCAGCACTGTGAGCTTGAATTGCAAAGTCAGGAACACTCTAAGATTCAGTGTAAAAGCTCAATATCCCTGCTCCATGTACTGAAGATTCATCTCCAGGTGTTTTACATGAGAATGTCACCCATAGGTCTATAGAGTTGCATCTCCTACAAGATGTCAGAGCCTCTGTTGGACACTGTCTCTGCTTCCTGTTTTAAAATGGTAAAGAAATTGGTCTGTCTGCGGAAGCACAGTGAGCCAGAAATAAACTGAGGAACTCTACTTTTAACTCCAACATGTAAAAAGCTCTCAAGTCATCATCACTCCCATCCCTGCAACAAGGAAAATTCAACGAACTGAAAATCATTGATGTTTCTTGGAGAACTAGCCTGCAGGGTAAATTACCTTACTGCAATCTGGGGAAATTAATGAATAATTATATACACTACCAAGATCCGCTTACCTGAAGCAGACGATTGAGTGTTGAAGCTGTAACCTGATCAGACACTGTGTTGGGTAATTTTATGCATCAACTTGGAGGTTGTTTTTGGATGAGATTAATATTTAAAGTAGTCAATTTGGAGTAACACAAATTGTCCTGTAAATGTCAGTGGTCCCATCCAATCAATTAATGGCCTGAACTGAATAAAAAGAGTGAGAGGGATTTTCCAGAAAATATCTTTATATCTGACATGCACCAATGGCTGTCCTGCATCTTCAGCCTACCAGATCACACTGCAGATTAACTTGTCCATCTCCATAATTATGTGAGCTAATGTATTTAAATAAAGAAATGAGTAAATAAAGAAACACACATCCTGTTGGTTCTGTTTCTTTGGGGGAACTCTAATGCAAACACTTACATGGTAATTTTGACAAATTTCTGGAGACTAGTGGGGACGCATGCAGGCAACATTGGGTGCTGGGAGTTGCCATCTTTAGGGGCTTTCCACAGTCACAGGATTTACCTCACAGAACTCCATGAGGGTCTTGTGAAGAGGACGCAACAAACAAGAATAGTTTCAGTGAAATATGTTTGGAATTTTGTCCGTAAGAAAGGCCTATACACTAAGGGGGAAGGAGTTGGCCCAGCCACTATTCTGAAACCTTAACCAAAGTGGTAGGAGTGGATCCTTACCCACTTCAACCCACTCCTGGCATTCTGACTCAGTTATTGAGGTGACAATAAAACATAGAAATAGGGGTCAGTACTTCAGTGCAATTGATTTAAGAATGCTTCAGCCAGAGAAGGAAATTGGAGAAAAGGAAAAAGAAAGCCACAGTGTTAGAGAAACATTTGTGAGGGTCACAAACCCAAGGTGCAGCCCCACTAAAAATCCAAGATTTAACCAGTAGAAGATATAAAATTCTCCCACTCACACACCTAACCAGAACAGCAACAGGATTCCAGTATAAGAAATGGTTACAGCAGAAATATTTGAAAGTCAAATTCTCTCTGAAGAAGAGCATATCACAGGAGTCAGGTTAGGAGAGACAAAAACAAGGATGCTACAGGAATTTAAAGCCATGGCACCTATTGTTACAGGAAGCATTAAATACAACACAACATTTTGCCTTTTCAGTATAAAAACCTAAAGCTCAAATCTATTTACCAAAGTTCTGATTACCCAAGACATTATGTGTAGCACCAAACAAAAAAAAAAGTTTTAAGAGAAAGAGATCAGGCCGGCGCCGCAGCTCAATAGGCTAATCCTCCGGCTGCAGCGCCAGCACACCGGGTTCTAGTCCTGGTTGGAGCGCCGGATTCTGTCCTAGTTGCCCCTCTTCCAGGGCAGCTCTCTGCTGTGGCCCGGGAGTGCAGTGGAGGATGGCCCAAGTGCTTGGGCCCTGCAGCCACATGGGAGACCAGGAGAAGCACCTGGCTCCTGGCTTCGGATCAGTGCAGTGCGCTGGCCGCAGCGGCCATTGGAGGGTGAACCAACGGCAAAAGGAAGACCTTTCTCCCTGTCTTTCTCTCTCTCACTGTCCACTCTGCCTGTAAAAAAAAAAAAAAAAAAAAAAAGAGAGAGAGAGAGAGAGAAAGAGATCTTTTATTCACTGGTTCATTCCCCAAATGTCTGCAGTGGAAGGGGTTGGAACAGGTCTCCTACATGGGTGGAAGGGGCCAAGTAATGTGACCATTTTCTTGTTTCCCAGGTGCACTAGTAAGGAGGTGCATAAGAAAGGGAACAGCTGGGACTCAAACCAGCATCCATATGGGACACTAGCATTGCAAGTGGCAACTTGGCCCTCTATGTCACAAGACTGGCCCCTCAACCAATATTTGC